GCCACACATCAACAAGGACATTGAACAGATCGCAAAGCAATGTGCTGCATGCCAGGAACACCAGGCAAGGCAACAGAAAGAGCCGTTGCTTCCCCATGATGTACCTTCAGCACCTTGGACTAGACTAGGAACAGATTTGTTCATGCTAAACAGACAAGACTATTTACTCGTCACTGACTATTACTCCAAGTATCCGATAGTCTACAAGCTGACTGACACATCAAGTGCTGCAGTAGCCAACGTGATGAGTGGAATCTTCAGTCTATTTGGTCCACCAGAGGAGATCGTATCCGACAACGGTCCACAATTTGTCGGGAAGCACTTCAAGGACATGTGCCGGAAGTGGTCGATCACCCATACAACCTCTTCACCTCACTATCCAAGATCCAACGGACTAGCTGAGAGAATGGTTCGTACCGTCAAGAATCTGTTGAAAAAGTGTTCACAGACTGGCCAAGACAGTCAACTGGCTATGTCACACCTAAGAGCAACACCCGTTGACAGTCACATGAGATCACCTGCAGAGATGTTGTTTGGAAGACCCATCAGAACAACACTGCCAAGTCATCATCTTTCAAGAGAATCTACCACCACTGATCATCTCTTGAATCGACAGAGTAAGATGAAAGAAACGCACGATCGACATGCGGGTCCAGATCTTCCACCACTCCACGTAGGACAACCAGTCAGAGTCCTACATCCCAAAGATCATACTTGGATACCAGCCAAAGTATCCAAAGTCTGCGACGAGCCTAGGTCGTATGAAGTATCAACACCTAACGGAGGAATCCTGAGACGAAACCGATCTCACCTGAGGGAGATTCCATCGTCAACCAACCCTACTCCAAAGCGTGTTAGGTTCGACGAAGACTACACTTCATCTACTCAAGCAGAAACACCACAACAGAATGGCAACAACCATCAGCCAACACCAGAAACTCAGAACATTCAATCTAAAGGACCAACATCAAACTCGCAAACCACAACAAGATATGGACGCAACATCCGTACACCAGCGAGATACATGTTTGAAGATTGAAACTGAACTCTTAAATTTCTTCAAAGAAGAGAGAAGATAAAGAAGAACACAGAAGACGCTTAGTTTAATGTAGTCTAAGAAGTTTATTGTTCATATGCATGTATAATCATTGTACAGTATTTGTGGTATGACAAGCATAATGTTTACAAGTCTAAACAGATGCTAGCCCAAACATGTTTCGTTTGGAAAGTCATTTTATAAAGGAATCAAGTTATATCAAAACTATGTTCAATCTTGCAGATCAACTGTGAAGTTGAAAGTGGAACGATATAATTATATAGACAGTTAAATACTCATTCGTTAATACAATACAAAAGAAACGTATTGAAAACAAATCAAGATTTTATGTTATATAACCTGATTGGAAAAAGTTTATTAGGAAGCAAATAACCAAAACTTGCATACTACCAAAAGTATTGTTATCAAAGCAATATGTCATTAATCATCGATCAGTGATGTTCACTGATTCCAAATCTTTCCAGAGGAAGGGGGATGTTACGATATACGATATCCGATATATCCGGTATCCGTCGTAGTTCAATAAACATGTTCACCATCATCACAAACCTGACTGCCGACTCGTCTATTATCATGAGTATCTACCAAATCTAAGACCCTCGAACTCATCACCCCCCCACCCCCCCCCCCCGGGATTTACGCCCCTGCAAGGAATGGATTGTGTAGGATTAGAACTTATCTGCATCCACAGTGATATTATGAAATGGCGGCTCTCAATTTGTTATTATTTATCATTTTGATCATTAAATGCAGTAATTAATGTGATAATATCACTGTACATACCGCGCTATCATCGTTTACTTAGAGATATTTCTGCAAAGCGCTTTGGGACATCGTAGATGCAGATGTATACATGGAGCACTATAAACCCAGAATATGATTCAAGTATAGATCTGATTATAACAGGATGTATCAGTTTCCTTTTCCACGCAATGTTCTAGACCTTACCATCCGGCGGATGCAGTTTGACTATATATGCATCCGGGTATAAAACACGAATGCCGGTATGCGTGTGTGATAAAGGGCAATCCAACCATTGAAATAAGTTCATTTGTACGAAAGTAGAAAAAAAATAGAATGGCGTAAGTTTGAAATAAATCGGAGCAATAATAAGATAATTCAGTGTAAACCTTGAGATAACTAAATTCATGCGAATCTCAAATTGGTAAGATCGTCTGTATAGATTGAATTGTAAACGTTGTCATGTACAACTCTCCCGTTTGTCATGCACACAACTATCTTTCATTGCTATTTTCTCCCCTAAGTGCTTTCTCCCTTGGGGCACTATCCAAGATAAAGAATATTATTATAGGTCTTCTAAAAAAGACCTTCCTGCGATACAGATTTTTAAACTTGATGTTTTAGTCATTTTGTTCGTTGAAACAATTGAAATGGGAAAGTTGTCCGGCACTACGTCATATTGACAGTATAGATTCAGCCAAGTGTCTAATTGTATAATAATAACAACTTTCCCAAAATCATAGCTTTTTATTGCAAGCCATTATTCAGAACAGTTCAATTCAAATAGTGACAAAGACGTACATAGAACTGCTTACAGAAATCCTATGTTTGATATGCAGGGGTAATAAGATGGCTACCGTTTTACATTGTTGGCTCTGGTTGCACAACATCCAATCATTATGCAACACCATATCCATCAAAGTGCAGGTCAATGGTATATGTATCAAATGGTTTAAAAGGAAACTGCAAACTTGGGAGAGATTGCTTTCCTTGCTCAGTAATCAATAAAAAGTCATTTCAAGATTTCTTTTGCTGGCTGACAATTTTAATAATATTTATTTTGACGAGTGGAGGAATTGACCGTGGCGCAATTTCGGCCTGTAGAATATCCCAACCCTCCTATCCTTATCTTGTATTGTTGCTGTTGTTTGCTCTTATTATTATCATCATTAGTATTATTAGTATTATTATTATCTTATTCATTCTTTTATTGTTTTTTTGTTTATTATTAGTATCACCATCAGTATCACCATCATCATCATACCCATTGTCGTTGATTCTTTTCTGGTTTTCACATCTAACACTATAATAACACTATGATAATTAGATTAGCCCTCACTGCAGGCCCTTGATATATTCAGCTCATGGATGCTACGTATACGTGTAAGTAAAGTGCGCAAAGCAATAAGCGTGTAGAGTCTTTATCGATCCCTGTCTGTATGCCTGCATGCTATTCATTATGACAATATTGAAGCTGCGGAAGGAGGGCAGTTCCCCCCTCTCACATGAAGCATGAAAGCTGTATCATCAATTTAAATCGTAAACGAAAATGTGCACTTGTCGGTATTATTGTTGTTTTGATACCCCGTTTCATATATCTTTAATATGAATTTAATGTATAGTTCATTTTGTTAAATCTTATATCGAAGCAATCAAGCGGAGTGCGCACAAAATTAGGGGGATGGGCCAGTATTTTAAGAGCCAGGAATAATCCGTTGAATCAAGGGAAAGGAGTATACTCCTGCCCACCCCCCCCCCCCGAGGGGGGTATAAAACTTTTACATTTTAATGTGTGAAATTAGATATCTCATTGGCTAGAAAATGTTCACGTTTTGTAGTTTGGAACCTTGCATTTAAGCACACCTGTATAAGTTTTTATTTTAAGTCTGAGTTTGCTATCTACCTCCTTTTCTCTCTTCTCCTATAGCAATTGGCAGCTTTAAAACATGATTCAGACCAATATCGAGGAACGACCCCCTTGAACATTATCCTAGGGAGAAGGCTCCACCTTGAATCACCGATTCTCGAATTTCGTAGTAAAGACCCTCACTATATAGCTCTTGTAAACAAACAATGGAATATCTGCCTAAGTACGATAATTGTGCATCCCACAGTTAACAGATCTTCTTTAATTTAAATTTAAAGTATATTATGCGAGGGACAATAGTGATCAATCGAGAATAGTTTTGATTTTTGAATAGTTAGAGCATCATAGAGCTGAAATATAGTGTGGTCTATAGCCTTAAATTATAATTTTCTATGCACTCATATTTTTTAGAACCCCCCCCCCCCCCCGTGATTACCGCCCCTGATATTTTAAAAGCCTATGGTTAAAAGGGCTAGTTAGCGTAAGAGAGGAAGGTCTACTCAAGGTGAAATACCAAACAAATTAACAGCCATTCAGATCTACCAAAGGAAAAACAAATCTTGGTTTACTCTATATATATTTTAAAAGAAAGTAATTTGCGGCATAATTATTTCCAATCGTAATACATTTTTGACCGTGAAAAACAGATGTTATTCTTGTTTAAAAATGATAATTTGAAAAAAATTGTGAGAAAGAAAATAAATCACTTCCCCTTTCTTTATTTTCTACTACATCCAAAAATTCATGACTTTTTTGGCGATTCGGATCGGTATTGAGGAAGGTCAGCCATAATCTCATAAAAGGACTGGGCCATAATTATGTATACACAATACTTATCTCACTGTAGATTCATGTCTGCAGGAAGAGCGATGTCCTTGTTTCCCCCCATCATTCTTTCTTCCTCCCTCTCCATTCCCTTTCTTTCCTCTCTCGTTTCTTTTTTTCCCTTCTTTCTTTTGGCATTTTGGGGGGCTGACCGCCCCGCCGCCCACCTCCTTGGCTACATTCTCTATCTTACTAAAACTTTGATAAAAGGTGAAAGAACTTAAACATTCGCTCTATCAGAATTATGAATCAAGAATTGTATACTTGTTGAGGTAAAGCAAAACAGATCTAGACAGGGAGTAAGATGCTGCTTCACGGTACCGTACAAATGAAAGAGTTTAAGGTGTAATAATAGTGATTACATTTGTTTAAAATCATTAAAGATGTTGTGGTATGCATGTTGATACTGATCCAGAAGGTCGGGATTCGAAGCCCTTTGCCTTCTTAAGACTGTTTCGCACGATTATTCACATAATAAGATCGATGCTGTTTCTATTCACTTTGATGTAGCCCCGTGGTCTGTTCGTCTGATGGGTGGTATCTATGAATCTGAAGGTCGGGTTGAAGTCTTCTATGACAACCAATGGGGTTCTATATGTGACAGCCTGTGGAGCATCGAGGACGCGAGTGTTGTCTGTCGGCAGCTGAATTACAGTGGAGCAGACCTAGCATTGGTAGCGGGACAGTACGGTGAAGGTCAAGATGTCGTCCTGTTTAGTAACATGGAATGTAATGGAATGGAGAGCAATCTTTCAACTTGTAAATATGACCTTGTTGATGTTACACATTGCGACCATTCAAGAGATGCTGGTGCCGTGTGCACGAGTCAGGGTAAGGTTCAATAAGGTCCTTAAAAACAGTAGTATTGAGGAGAAAAAAAGATGATCAAGAGTGTCGTACAGAAAGATGAAAACAATGCCTTCTTTTTCTTTCTTTTTTGAGTCATCTTCTGCTCTCTATATTGTCGATACAGCTTTGGCACCGTAGGCTAAGAATTGTCAATACTCCCAGAAAGTGAACTTTTTGCACAAAATAATGTAAAAAATGTATGGACTTTGGAGAGGCAGAGTTGGGAGAGCCAAGAAAGAAACTCTATATTATGCAATATAGTGAAGATTCCACCTGACACAAAATGGAGTTCCTTGACTTGATGCACCTGGTGAATGTCAGAAGACAATCTTGAACAGTATGACACTGGTTCTGCATTGTCGTAATTATGTTCTGGCCATGTTCTGTATTAAAGATCCATTTGCAGCGGTTGTGCCTCTAAATTATAAGAAATTGTACGTTTTAGTTATTTTTGCAATATATTTCATTATGGAATACAATAATTCAGTATATTTTAATATGTTTGTATTCAATGTACATGCACAGGAAGTCTTCGCCTAGCCGGTGGGTATGTACCTGGAGAGGGTCGTGTTGAGATTCTGGGAGAATCTGGAGACTGGGGTACAATATGTGACGATGGATGGGATAACACCGATGCAGGAGTAGCATGTAGACAGCTAGGATACCCAGATGCTTTAGAAGCCATAGTCAACGTAGATTATCCCAACACACTGCCAGTCTTTGGTTCGGGATCTGGTCCTATTCTTCTTGATGGACTCGATTGTGAAAGTGAAAAGCGACATTTAAGAGACTGTCTTGTAACAAACGAATGGGGAATTCACGACTGTACTCATGACGAGGATGCAGGAATAACATGCGACCTGGGACGTAAGTTCCTCCTAAATTAAAACATCGTCTATTGCTATTTTCAAGATTAAATTATAATATGATAACATATCCCAATGAAGTTACAGATCCTGTCTATTTCATTTAATTTACAAAGAAAGTAACATCTCTTTTAATTTTTTTTTGAAGCATTGATCACTTTGGCCAAATTCAGTACCTCTACTAACATATGGTTTTTAGCACACGAGTGGTTCATCGGGAGATGTTTGCTCTAAACCATTTGTTGCTCAGCCAATACAACGTGATATTTTGATCGTCATTGAAATGAATGCTAACAAATGCGTCCATTAAAAGTATAGGAAAAGTATTTGTTGTTTCTATTTGTCCCTGACATTCTCATCACAACCTTCATTGTTCTTGAATTCTCCTACTTTCCGATGTAAACAGTATTGATTAGATTTTTAAACACATTGTATACTTTTGTGAGAAGAAATTGCGAGTGACTTTCAATTCAGTTTGATTCAAGGATATCATGCCAATAGTCTTTCCGAGGAATTCGAGGGTTAATAATACCTTATAATGAGAACACTAGCATATATTTCATCTAGAGATCTATTACCTTGTAACGTACACTGACACATCAAAGAAATATTCCCATGAAAACACGAGGTCTGTTCAAATAAATTGTATGTACCATCCGTCTGTTTTACAAGACAGCTCCTTTCTTTTCTTTCATCTTGAATTACAGTTACCCGACTTGTAGACGGCGATTTTGACGATGAAGGCCGCGTTGAAGTTTACTATGGGGGTAAATGGGGAAGAATCTGTTCTACCAATTGGACCATTGATGATGCCCATGTTGCATGTAGAGAACTTGGATTCCCTCTCGGAGCAAGGAACACGAAAATATTTGAGGGAGGCGATGGACCTTTTCTACTGGACGACATGAAATGTCAAGGAGTTGAGACCCATTTAGCCGATTGTGAATCTTTAGGATGGGCCAACAACCAAAACTGTGATGCCAACCTGAACTATGGTGCAGGCGTTGTGTGTAATGGTAGGTCAATTAATATGACATTTTTATGCTAAAAACTACTTAACATCTGAGTCCTATGTTAAACGACCTTTTCTATTTATATTTTATTTCACAATACAGATCCTTCGGCCGTTGTGAGACTCCTAAGTGGATCTAGCAGCTATGAAGGTGTAGTTCAATACCGAAATAGATCTGAACTTGGTTTGATATGTGATCCTGATTGGAGTGATAAAGAAGCAGATGTGACCTGTCGACAGCTAGGATACCAGTATGGACGAAGTGAAAAGCCAGTTTCACTTGGACCATTATCTGGAACCATCTATTACTTGGACTATCACTGTAACGGAACTGAAGAGCAGATAGGAGATTGTGTGTATACATTAAAGTCAAATGATGTCCAATGTAACCCTGATCACATAGCACAAGTTTTCTGCGGACCACCAATAGGTGAGAATCTTGCATGACTGTGATAAACCAATACGTCTTATCAAAACTCAGTTGTTTATCAAATCCTACTACTACAAGGTCGATCATACTAGACAGTCTTTCCCAATCAGTTCTATTTTTGTATATCTTTGTGAGTTATGTGCTAAACCAGTGTCTGTCTCTAAATGATCTATGCAATTCATTATCAGGCGATCTCTCGTGCCTTAATGTGGTCCAATAAGAGCAGTTGTGAAATTATTTCACTTTGGCATCTCAGGAAGAGTCAGTTTTCTCTAAATCTGGCTGATATTGATGTTGGATCCCTTTATAAATCTGTTTTTGTCATTTAGGGTGACTCGAGCTTAGGAATCTTAGGAATCGGATTTCCATGTCTGAAAGCTTATTCAGTGCTTCCCAGGATTTTTTTTCTTTTTCTTATTGACCGATCAATACAAAAATGAAAGGTTTGAATCTACTTCAAGTAAGTCCTATATAGGTGTAAACTAAACTAATCTTACCGACCGTCATGGAGGTTCTACATCATAAATTCTTACTACGTAGGCCTCCTCCTAGAGACTCTACTCTTTACTACGAAGCTTTTTCGACATCTTAATTTATTGCACAAATTATTATTGGCAAAGTTGAAGAGCATTGTATGCCACCACAGATGAAATTCATGTTTTGCTGACATGCAGTCCGTCATGCAGTCCGTAAGCTAGAATTCTAGAGCTCGAATCTATAGGGAACAATAATGATTGGACTATATTAGCTGGATTTCAACTAAACTTAGCTATATGGGTATTCTACAACACCCACCATTTCGAGATGATGCAGTTATTTATAAACAAAGAGGCTCGTCACTTTACCGACCCCGCCAGCTGCTCTGTTCACTGAATCTCTGTAAATCTCTGTAAATGTTGCCAAACGGGCTCAAACTGTGTGCGAACGGAGTTGAACGTAATAGCAATCGTTTGCGACCTATTTAAGGACTTTATGGACGGGCTCGGACTGGACTAATGTCTCTAAAACAATCCTAGTTCGTTCATTAATAGTCCACAATACGTCCAATACGTCTGTACCCGTCCACAGTCAGTTCATATCAAGTTCAGATCGGATAAATTTGGTATTTCCAAGCAGTCCAAACCATTTTTACTAGTTTGGAACTTGTTCTAACTAGTTTATAACCCAACCACCCCGTTCAGAGACAGTTCAACCCGTCCTCATCTTGTTCTTAGTGCGTTTCGAACGCGCTTCTATCGTGCTTTGCAATCCCGTCCTGGTTCGAGGGCTTTACAAACCCAGCGCGTTCTTCCTCGTTAATGCTCGACCACATCATGTGGTAACACGTTCCTAGTAGTATCGAAGTACGGCAATTCCGTTCATAGTACGGCATTTCCGTTCGTAGTACGTCCATCTCGTTTTAAGTACGTTATCACTCCGTCTAGTTACAGGACGGGGATAATTTTGAACAGACTCAAAGTTCTAGACCACCCTTCCCGTCCATGCCAGTCCGAGCTCGTCCATGAAGTCCTTAAAAATATCGTTAATAGTTGCTAATACGTTCACTCCGTTTACACACAGTTTGGGCCCGTTTGGCAACATTTTCCAAAACGTAGTGAGAATTAGTTTGGTGTGATAGGTGCTTGACTTGAACGTCTTGATCTGCAAAGCCAAAAGCGTTAAAGTTGAACGGGAATGAGGAATGGCGAGAACGCTCTGGGCTTTTATAACTCCTGAGTCAGGACGGGATTGCACACGCTCTAGGAGCGCGTTCGAACGCACTCAGAACGAGATGAGGAAGAATTGAACTGCCTCTGAACGGGGTGCTGGGGTTAAAAAAAAACTAGTTAGAACAAGTGGCGAACTAGTTAGAATGGGTTTGGACGTATTGGGAACGAGGTAGAACTAGTTAATAATGGATTTAAACTGAATACGGACTAGCTTGAACTGCCTAATCTACACGATCTGAACTTAATATGAACTGGCTGTGGACGGGGGACAAACAAGATGGACATATTGAGGACTGTTTACGAACGAACTAGGATCGTATTATAGACATTTTTTTTTACACATTCTGCCCCGACCACAACCCGTTTTGCGATTTTCTAGGACGGTTCCAGAACGTAGTGAGAACTAGTTTGGTGTGATGGGGGCTTAAATGACACTGATCTGGCGGACCCGATTAACCGAGACGGTACATGCCTTATAATAGCCCCCAACACAATGAGCTAGTTCTCACTACGTTCTGGAACAGTCCTAGAAAATTGTAAAACGGGTTGTGATCGGGACCGAATGTGTAAATAATGTTTACAATATCATCCTAGTTCGTTCATAAACAGTCCTCAATACTTTAATTTCGTCAGTTCATATCAAGTTCAGATCGGGTAAATTTGCCATTTCCAAGCAGTCCAAGCCAGTTCGTAGTCAGTTTTAACCCTTTATTAACTAGTTCTACCTCGTTTCCAATACGTTCAAACCCATCCTAACTGGTTTGCCACTTGTTCTAACTAGTTTTTTTTTAACCCGACCACCCCGTTCAGAGACAGTTCTACTCGTCCTCATCTCGTTCTTAGTGCGTTCGAACGCGCTCCAATAGCGTGTGCAATCCCGTCCTGGCTCGGTGGCTATATAAACCCAGCGCGTTCTCGCCATTCCTCATTCCCGTTCAACTTCAACGCTTCGTGCTTTGCAAATCAAGACATTCAAGTGAAGCCCCCATCACACCAAAGTCGTTCTCACTACGTTTTCGAAAATGTTGCCATACAGGCTCAAACTGTGTGCAAGCGGAGTGAACGTAGTAGCAACTATCTACGATCTTTGTTAAGAACTTCATGGACGAGCTCGGACTGGCTTGGACGGGAAGGGTGCTCTAGAACTTTCAGCCTGTTCAAAATTTTCCCCGTCCTGTAACTAGACGGAGTGACATCGTACTTAAAACGAGATGGACGTACTACAAACGGAATTGCCGTACTTCGATCCTACTAGGAACGTGTTACGAACCAGTTAGAATGGTTTGGAGGTATTGTGAACGAGTTAGAACGAGTTAAGAACTGGTTTAAATTGATTACGGATGGGCTTGGACTGCTTGGAAATAGCAAATTAACCCGAGCTGAACTAAATGTGAACTGACAATGGACGGGGTGCAGACGAGATGGACGTATTGAAGACTTTATTTACACATTCTACCCCGACCATTGCCCGTTTTTACGACTTTCTAGGACGATTCCGGAACGTAGTGAGAACTTGTGTGATGGGGGCTTAGCTGCTGCCCCGGCCCCCCCCCCCCCCCCACTCAGTGTTATTTAGGGTACGCATATGCGTGTTCCAACCGACCCCCCCCCCCCCCTTTTCAGCAAAAGTCCGGTGTGTAAAGTCAATACGGCTCGACCTTTTTCTTTTGTATACGAGCCTTTTTCAGCACCCCCCCCCCCCTTTTCAGCAAAAGTCCGGTGTGTAAAGTCAATACGGGTCGACCTTTTTCTTTTGTTACGAAAAGGACATTTTGGCAACACGCATGCGGTCATTTTGAAACCTGAGTGGGGGGGGGGGGGCCGGGGCTGCTGCTAATAATATTGATGCTCGACCACAGCACGTTGTACCACGTTCCTAGTATGATCGAAGTACAGCAATTCCGTTCATAGTACGGCAATCCTTCCGTTTGAAGAACGTCCTCCTTGTTTTAAGTACGTTGTCACTCCGTCTTATTGCAGGACAGGGAAAATTTTAAACAGGCTCAAAGTTCTAGAGCACTCTCCCGTTTAGCCAGTCTGAGCCCGTCAATGAAGTTCTTAAACAGATCGTAATCAGGTGCTATTAGGTTCAACTCCGTTTGCACACAGTTTGAGCCCGTTTAGCAACATTTTCCAGAACGTACTGAGAACTAGTTCGGTGTGATGGTGGTTTTATCATCAATTCTTTTCATCAGGTCGGCGTTATATCATTTCATTGTCCTCTCGTTGAGATCTCTTAGCCATGCACTGACTTTCTGAGGACAGACCTTAATGATAATTTCTGACAGCCAAAAATGTTACACCCTCGATGTGGCGTCAGGTCAGAAGAAAGCCTGTGCCCCTCGATAGACAGCATCACAACAATTTATCGGTCTGATGTGACCACTGTTATTGTTATCGTTACATTTAGTTTATCTTATTTCGATGAGGTCTGACAACTCCTGCGATACTTCTACATTTCAGCCCCAAATTTTGTGTGGTACTTTTGCTTGAAATATGGCTTATGTGATGATCCTAACCCTTACTCTACAAGACCAAAAAGAAGAACTAGTTTCGAAGGAAAATTGAGACATGGAGTGGATTGACACTGCAAGAGTGTACTAGGATGGCAGAAACAGAGATGTGAGGAAAAATTTTGTGATCATCCTCGGAACTAGGAGAATTATAAAGATACAAACGTATAAAGATACAAACGAATATCACTAGAGATATTATTTCCGATAGAATATTCTAATTTGATGATTTGATACTAATTTTTACTTTTTTCGTTCTATGTGTTCATAATTCTTTCGATTTAGACTTTGACCTACGAATGGTTGGGAGTGATTTCACTGAGCAAGGTCGTCTAGAAGTCTTTCTTAAAGGCGAGTGGGGCTACGTAGCTGCAGGATACTATTCGTCTATAGACCGTTATACAGTTTGTCGCCATCTTGGATATGCAGGTGCCTTTTACACCTACAGGAGTGAATTTGCTCGTTCTTCGCGTCCAATTCTTATAGACGATATATCATGTGGTGACAATGATATGAAAATAACTGATTGCTACATACTAGAGTTGAGCGGACCTAATTCAACCCGAATTGAGCGTGATGAAGTCAGTGCACTCTGTTTTCCATATGGTAAATATTCTTTGATTATCCAGTGTACTACTAGTATTGTTGTATTTGTTCTCATTTCATTAAATATTTTATATATATTGCATTTTATATTATTATGTTTTGAATGTTATATTGTTGTTTAAAAAAGTTGAATGTAAAATAAAGTTAACTGAATTGAACTATGTTAATAATTTTATTCTTGACAACATCGATACAAATATTGTTTTATGCAAAGATACTATATTGGACGGCCTTTAGTGTGATACAATGATGTATCTCACGAGCGGATTACCATATTTCAAGAGTCACTTATTGTTCCTATTCTTTTCTTGCTTAAATCATTTATTGTCTGCGAATTTCACACTTTTCTTCGACAACAACTAAATTATTTATACCCCCATGGAAAGTGTTATGTTGTTAGTGTCTTGTCGTAACTCAAGAATGAAAGGTGGACTGTTTGAATAAGGGCCTTTGCTGATTACTTTTAGATGTAAGCTTCATTTTCTCATCGGAATTCTCAAGAAATGTAAATCGGGACTAATCAATGTTTCACATACTTACAAAACAAAACAAAAAATTACAAAACTTTGTAAAGGTATGAATGATTTAGTTGTTAACTGTATGTAACTATAAACTATTGTAATTTACAATTCTATAAATTTTGAATGCCCAAATCAACACCTCTCTGGTGAATTCATGTTTTAATTTTCATTTTTTGTTCTTATGTAAATGTACACGATTCCTTTGTCATGATGTAAAGAATTCCCTAATATTTTGAAGCGCCTTGAGCATTTAATTAGAATGGATAATGGCGCTATATAAATGTCATGTATTATTATTATTACTAAAATACACAGGTTTTGTGTGAGTTCTACCCAAGCCTATACTGTATAGCATACACAGAATATCCTGAAATGATATACACTGTCGCTCATATAGTTGGAATATTTTTGTTTTACCCCAATTTATGGAATTATTTTAAAAATAATTTAAAAATAATAGATCTGGATAATTGTATACATTCTCAGTTTTTATTGAATAATAATTTGCCAATGTGTGTTTTGCGTGACTGCTAAAGCATGTGTATGCTACTATGCTTATCAACTAGGGGACCTACGCCCTTAAGTCATAAATGACAGTAATGGGGATTAATGCCCCACAACAGGGCACTAATATAGCACATCGACACGGTTTTGATCCTGGTGCCTCACAGTTACGAGGCCATTGCTTTGTCACTGAACCATGACTGTACGCAGCGGGGGCTAGGGTAGGGGGCAGTTTCAATAAATAAAAAACAGAGAAAATGCAATAAATTTTCAATAATTTATTGCATTTTTCCCCGGTTCCCAACATTAAAAAAATCCTCTGTGTGCCCATGCCTTGAGCCATAATGCATGGCCGTCCATACTGTCTAACTGTACCAAGACTGGGCCAAATTTCTTATCATTTTGATGATTCCAGAACCTTGCCATACACACCAATACTTATATGCTAGATGATCAACCTTTTCTGATCGATTACACAACGTTTCTTTCACAATGCAATCGCATGACCAGAACCGGTCTATACCTTCAAGTACTGAAAAGTTATCTAAGGAATGAGAGGGTTGATGTAGAACCATTCTGTTCATAATTATTTCATATATTTGATTCCACAGAGAGTGTAGCAAACCACCCCGTGAGGTTCAGAGATGAGAACGGAGTGATCAATAGAAATTATGGAGTCATTGAGATATATCATGATGGAATATGGGGTCCAATTTGCGACTCTTATTTTTACCAACACGAGGTGAGTTTATTGCTTTGGTCAAGGAAATGAGGCTCTTTTTTCTTAATTAAGAATGTAAAATGTGTTTTTTCGTTCAATACAATGTCATTTTCCAACGAGTTTTAAATTTACCGACTGTAGTTACATTCCAGCTCGATATGTTGTTTCACAATAGAAATTTAGATATGGAGGGGAAAGTATTGCTATTATGAAACAATAAAAATAGCCCGCATACCTTTTTTTAATTTGACTTTTTTTTAATATTGTTCACCTTGTATAACATTTTAGTGCAAGTAATGTAAATAATTACATAGGTATATTTTCAAACATGAGAGTTACATAACACCCCTTCACATGCATACACGGATTTTTCTTATGGATCGCACAATTCACGGATCCTTACGATTTGGCCACTTTTACGACCGATTTAAGAGTTTTTACGAGCTATATACGGTTTATTACGGGTTATTACGATGTATATATACGGCAAAATTCAACGATTAGTACGAGTAGTCACGGATAACTATGAGCAATTTACGGGCATTTAACGAGCTGTTTGCGTGTTGCTAAGAGTAATTGCGATTCCTTACGATATTGCAGATTTTACACCTTTCCCCAAATCGTAAACAATATACGTAAGAATACATAAAGTATATTTATCTAACAACACGTTGAATGCTTGTAATAACTCGTAACAATCCGTAAAGCCATCGTAACACGACCCGAATGAAATCGTAATCAACGCTTAAGCACTCGTAATATTCCGTAAATAATCCGTAAACAAATCGTAAACTAACCCTAACTCCCGCCCCCCCCCCCCCCACTCCGAGAACGGACGGACCCTTGGGTGTTACCAAAATGTCCTTTTCGTAACAAAAGAAAAAGGTCGACCCGTATTGACTTTACACTCCGGACTTTTGCTGAAAAGGGGGGTGCTGAAAAAGGCTCGTATACAAAACAAAAAGGTAGACCCGTATTGACTTTACACACCGGACTTTTGCTGAAAAGGGGGGGGGGGGGTCGATTGGAACACGCATTATGCGTACCCTAAATAACACTGAGTGGGGGGGGGGGCGGGTCACGCATATTTTTTTTTACACAACTGTTTAGCCACTTCAGTCAAATATACTGTGCAAACGACTAGAGACAGAGTCTAGCATTACTGTATGGATTGCTGGAGCTGTACATATTCTATTTACATTATATATACATACTCTTATTTTTTTCGGGTTAAATTTATCCTCTCTTCTCTTTCTTTGTGTATTTCTGTGTTCTTCTTCAATCTATCGTCTTCTCTTTTGTCATGTATTTTTTTCTTCTTCAATCTATCCCTTTTCTCCTTCGCCATATTATTTCTTTTTTTTCCTTCAATCTATCACCCCCCCCCCCGTTCTCCTTCGTTATGTATTTCTTTTGTTCTCTTTTATTCTAACCTCTTCTCTTTTGTATATGTATTTCTTTGTTTCTCCTTCGTCATGTATTTCTTTGTTTTAATCTGATAGATTCCCATTCTCCTGAAACCCTGTTTTTCCTGAGTCTAGATCTATGATCCTCTTAGCTCTTCAATTATGTATTTCTATGTTCTTTCTTTGACTTATCCTCTTCTCTTTCCTTATGACTTTTTGTATTTCCTTGTTTTCCTTCTCCATATCCTCTCCACTATCCTTGTTTCCCCCTTTCTATCATATTCCCTTCCCTGACCTGGGTGTACGTGCTTGCACATAGTGCGCTGACGACTTAGACTCTTTCACCAGAGCACTTCTTGGATTTTTTTCGCGAAAATGGCTAAACAGTTGTGTAAAAAAAAATATGCACGGCCGGGCCCTAACTAGTCGTTAAGAATATTGTTACGAGTCATTTACGGATTCTTGCGAGCAGTTGACGGATGTTTAAGTGTTGATGCGAGCGGTTTACGAGCGATTTACGATACTTATGGATCGTTAAAAGTTATTTAAGGGAAAATTTATCCGTGGACAAAGTGGGTCAATCGTAAGAAGATTTTTGACATGTCAAAAACTACGCCTCTCCTTCCACGGATCCTTAAGAGTGTCTGCGAGTTGTTGCGAGTTGTTACAAGTTATTTACGGATACCAGCGAGTTAACGGATGCTTGCGACTGACTACGAGTTGGCGATCCGTAAAAAAAATCCGTGTATGTAAAGAAGGTATAAAAGATTTTGGATATGCAAAGAAATTTCAATTTTAAATTTGCAAATGTTCATATAATATTTCTGATTCATATAGTTTATTTTATGATAAAGCATATCATTTTATTTCTAACTTAACATTAGATCCTTTGTAGTCAGCTCGGTCATACGGATTTAACAATGGGCGGTAGCTTAAGTAACTACGATGGGAAATACACGTCAAATGGTCCAATGTGGTTCCGCTTGTCATATTGTCCCCGATACTCCGGTTTATATGGTTTTGACCATGACAAGATATATGAATGCAGACATGGTCCATGGGGTAAACCTGATCCTGACGATTGTTCAAGGGATAACGTGGCTACAGCCAGATGCGTCTATATGGATCAGACGGATGACTATTATCCAGATGACTATTATCCAGGTAAGTAGGAATCGTTGATTTGCCCATCGCGACCAGACAGATAATCACAATTACGTTGAGAAGCCGATCAGACATTATTATGTATTATGTATTGCTGTTATACTTCAACATTATCATGGATTGAATTCTATATACTACATTCGTATAACTCTGCTATCAAGCATTATGACGGAAATTAGTCCATACCACTGTTATTTAATTCATTGTGCTTCATTTAGCAATCAATGTTTGTACGCTGTCACTCGTTCATTCGGGGTCAAAGACCGCTGCAATCACTGACGCAGTTTTATGTCAAATTATATCGCGTTTCTAACGGGCAGAATGCATATTTTTACTAGACGTCATTTGCTGACGCGTCGTGTCTAACGGGCATAATGCATATGTTTACGAGACGTCATTTGCTGACGCGTCGTGTCTAACGAGCATTATGCATATGTTTACGAGACGTTATTTACTGACGCATCTTTTCTACTGGGCATAATGTAAGTTACGAGACGTCATTTGCTGACGCGTCAGTGACTGGGTGTGGTCTTTGACGAGCATATTGAGAGAGATTTTTTTTTTTCTTTAAATGAATGCAAGGTGAGCAGTGCAAACATTGCGTTTAATTTACTGGCGCCTGCTCTGATTACAGTCACAGGCATAATACGAGGTTACAACCATTGAAGTGACACAGTGGGTACACACGGTACACAACAGACGCTCGAATCTATGTGGCTATAAGTCAAAATAATACACAGATTTGTAACGTTTTACACGGCAGATCACAAGGTCATGTTTCAACCGAATTGTTTTTTGAAATAATTCTTGCAGAAATTTGGTCAATTTCATTTTGGTCCATACTCCAAGGAAGGGAATGTTTTGATGCATGAAGAAATTACAAGCTAAACTCTTGATTAAGCAGGGCTCCCACTTAGCCGAGTTGTATAAGCGAGTTATGGCGAGTTGCCTCAAAGAGGCACTCGCAATAACTCGCGAATAATTCGGTATAGCTTAGCGTAACTCTTTACAACATTCCACGACTCTCCTCGAAGTCGGGAGCAGTTCCAAAATTTTGAACATGTAATTCGAGGTGAACTCGCCTACACTCGTAAAATTCTCGCATTACTCGTAACATGATCGCGCTGCACTCTTCATAACTCGTAGCAACTATCCACCTTATGAAGAGTGCAGCGCGAGCTTGTTACTAGTAATGCGAGTATAATTACGAGTGTAAGCGAGTTCAACTCAAGAAACAACGAATCAGTGAAAATTTTGAACATGTTCAAAATTTTCGCTGATTCGTTGTTGCTCGAAGTGAACTTGCTTAACGCTCGTAATATACTCGTAGCAACTCGCCACCTTATGAAGAGTGCAGCGCGAGCTTGTTACAAGTAATGCGTGTATATTACGAGTGTAGGCGAGTTCACCTCAAATTGTAACGAAACATGTTCACAATTTTGGAACTGCTCGCGACTTCGAGGAGAGTCGTGGAATGTTGTAAAGAGTTACGCTAAGCCATATCGAATTATTCGCGAGTTATTGCGAGTGCCTTTTTGAGGCAACTCACTGAAACTCGCTAATACAACTCGGCTAAGTGGGAGCCCTGCTTAATGAAGTGTTTTTGCTTTGCTGTTTCAGATGAAGATGTAAGTTGGCCACCCGGTCTCGGTGGATGGGAGGTTTTTCTCGTCGCCATTGCTGTGGTGGTACCAATGTGTATTATCATCGGTTGCTGCTATCGAAGTCGACGTTCTCAAACAATCATAGCTACGGGCGCTCCTCCTGCTACTTACACGTCAGCTACCAATGCTACGCATATTGATGGTGTATCCTCAGAATCTACAGACCCTGCTCCACCCTACGTTCCTGCATCCCCGGCTCCTGTCGAATCTCCACCTACATATGACTCTGTTACTGCACCAATGACCCAGACTGATAATACCAATGCCTGATGGACAAATAATGCAGAGAATTAATAAAATATTACTTCTGGGAATGTGAGCCCTTTTCACAAACATAGCATGTGTTTTGGTGCAAGATTTCCACCAAAAGGCTGAAAGAAGAATTATTTAGAGAAGTCATTAAACCAATTCATAATCACTATTCTTTCCTTATTTAAAATATGATAAAGAACATGTATTTCTTGTAGTTTGTTAATTGTATGCATGTCGGAGTCGACTCTGTTAATGTGTGGAGAAGTATTGTATAGAATTTCGCGACATATGTTTCTTGATGTGTTTTGCCTTCGTTTATGACCTCTATTGTCTACCTCTATTTGATAACGTACAACACGACCTCAAAAGCATTGGCATAGCAAATGCTTTTATTCATTCTTGAATTTGAATAATATGCAAACATTAATGCATTTTTAGGTTAAAATACGAGGTACTTTAAAAACAAATTCATACAAAATTAGAAAAACAGACCGGGGACCACTATTAAAAGCCTATGTTCAGGCTTAACAGGTTGATGGTCTCAAGAATTGGGAAGAACTAACGGTTCTATATAGGACACCTACCCCCTGGGCATCCATCCCCCGGATAACCACCCCTAGTCAACTACCCCCTAGGACAACTACGCCCTAGGGCAACCACCCTCTAGGACGACTACCCCCCAGGACAACTACCCCCGGACAACTACCCCCTACGACAACCATCCTCTAGGACAGCTAACCCCCGAACAACTATCCTAGGGGTAGTTGTCTGGTGGGTAATTGTCCGGGGGTAGTTGTCCTAGGGGGTAGTTGTCCGGGGGTTAGTTGTCCTAGGGGGTAGTTGTCCTAGTGGGTAGTTGTCCGGGGGTAGTTGTCATGGGGGTAGTCGTCCTCGGGGGCAGTTGACTGGGGGTGGTTATCCAGGGGGTGGATGTCCAGGGGATAGGTGTCCGGATACGAGTACTTACATACATGCAAATATTTCGAGGGAAGGGAAACTGTATACTTTTTATATTTTGTTTTTACTTGATGCATTGCAAGTACTGTCGGTCTATTTTAGATTACTGCCATTTCGTTTTAAAACAAACACGCACTTTGACATTCATCACCGTGTGGATAAAAAGATAAACTGATTAGCAGAATATCCCAAAGAACCGACCTATTGGTGAAACCTCAAAAGTTGCCAGAAGGCCTATGAGACAGACATGTCGGTCTCGTGGGCCGTTGGTCTCGTGCCTGTTTCGTTGAATCTCGGGCCATCGGTCTCGTGGGCTGCAGCTGTTTAATGATGATCAAAGGCCAGCACAATGTCAGCACGGTCTGTTTTAATCATTAATTATAAGAACTATATAGTGTATCAGAAACGCGCAATATCCTAAACCAGCGGTTATAGTCGCATTCTCAATTTTATTTACGTGACCGACCACTGTAAGCACTGTTGTATCTGCAATCTTCTTTTAGTGGAAAAACAGATAAAAAGAACAATCCACAGTGTAGTGCATGTTGTTTACTTGTGTCATATATGTATATAGTAACACAGTTTTCTATTAGCAGTGTAAAATGTATTCGATTTTGTTTTGTATAACAGAAGTAGTGATTGGAGACATAATTAACTCACAATTATCATCTTTAAATATCAGGCGACGCCAAAGACCTATGTAAAATTGTTGATGACTTGTGTCCATCGCAGTATATATCATTATCACCACTTTGAATGTGTTGTAAACGTCTCGGATGTCGGTTATGTCGAATTTACATGTACATTGTATATTCCGTTTTCCCAGTTTTTGAATGCAATAAAATCGTAATAAATTACTTAAAGTACAATGATTGTGAACGGTTTTCGTTAAAGATTCAATATGTAGTCAGGGGCGTCTCCAAAGAGGGGGGGGGGGGGTGTGGGGTGCGACCCCCCCCCCCCCCCCACTTGTCAGGATATTGTCGGTAAAATTGCGCTGCCGTGGGGAAAAAAGAGAAAAGGGGGAGGGGAAAAAAAGAGGGAAAGGGAAAGAAAAGAAAAAAAAGAAAAGGAAAAGAAAAGAAAGATAGAAAAAGAAAGGAAAGAAAGGAAAAGAAAGAAAAGAAAAGAAGGAAAAAAAGAAGTAAAGAAAAAGAAAAGGGAAACAAAAGAAACGGGGGGGGGTGAAAGAGAGGAGAGAAAGGGGAGGTAAGAGCCTGAGAGGGGAGAAGTGGGAGTAAAAGAGCATATGGAAACGTTGTATCATCCGCTCAATCTGACTTGCGTGCATAGAACGAATGAGCATTTTTCCATGAAAAAGTGAAGTTTTCTAAAATGTGCGTTTCTTTCCAGCATTGGGGCGCCCGGAAGTCACTCGGGTAACATTTCATTAAGTATAATATAAAAAGACCATATGCAAATTTTCTGTACTTTTGTCGGAAAAAATACATTTATCCAGCACAATGTCGTCTCTTTTTGCCTTGGAGAAGAGCAAATAGCGAGTTTCAATCACACTTTGGTGTGGTGTTTATGCATTTCATTCACCTGTTATTATTCTTTGTACTCCAATTGTTAGAATACAAAATGCATTTTGGTTTTATAGTTTCATGCAATAAGTAGGTCAAAAAAGAGTATGTTCTACACAATAAAAACAATGTGTGTCCCTATTGTACAATGTAATGTCCCCTCATTTTGTAATAGTTAATTTACCCATTCACATATGGAACTAACTGCCCGATGAAGCCATTGGCCTGTGAACCCTGAGCACTCAACACCGTGTGGGAGTCAGTTTGTGGTCAACTTCTTTTATGAGACAAATACAAGTAAACGTTTCCATATGGAGGGGGGGGGGTAGTTGGATGGAGTCGTCTCGTCGAGAGAGCAAGAAAGACACGGGTAAATATGTTGCTGTGTCGGGTCAGCTGTGTCGGTATTCTTGCTCGATCCTCATATATCAATGCAGAATTTTGAAGTCGGTGAGATGTATATATTGTCATTTTTTCCCCTACGAACTGTCAAACGCGTAGCCAGGATTTCATTTAGGGGGACGGTAGTGAGCACGCAAAGCGTGCGAACCACTTACAGAGCGCGTGTAGCGCGCTCCCTAGGGTGGTGGGTGCATGGAGGGGGGGAGATCCCCCCCCCCCCCCCCGCGCGAAGCGGGGAAGCTTTGACGTTTCATCTAATTATTAGAGTAAGAAGACGATTCATTGGACCGTTCTCGACTTTTAATCCTTATCTAAATTCACTTTCTTTTGACGTTTCATTAGAGAAAGAAGACGATTCGTTGAACCATTCTCGATCGACTCTTAATCCTTATCTGAATTTAGTTTCCACCCCCTCTTTTGGAGCTTTGATGTTTTATTAAATTATTAGAGAAAGAAGACATTTCATTGAACCGTTCTCGACTTTTAATCCTTTTTCTTCCTACGACCTCTTCCTTTCTTCTTTTTTTCTCTTTTTTTTTTGGCCGGCGTTTTTTTTTAGGGGGCGACTCTGAATTCAGATAAATAAGGCTTAATAAGAGTCGAAAACGGTGCAACGAATCGTCTTTTTACTAAATAATTAAATCAAACGTCTAAGTTTTTCGCGCGGGAAGGGGGAAAACTGAATCCAGACAAGGATTAAGGGTCGAAAGCGGTACAACGAATCGTCAGCTTTCTCTAATAATTTAAGAAAACGTCAAAGCTTCCGCGCTTTGCGCGGGAGGGGGAAACTGAATTAAAATAAATAGGGCTAAATAAGAATCGAAAACGGTGCAACGAATCGTCTTCTTTCTATAATAATTAAGTCAAACGTCTAAGCTTTTCGCGCTTTGCAAGGGGTAAACTGAATTCAGATAAGGATTAAAAGTCGAAAACGGTACAACGAATCGTCTGCTTTCTCTAATAATTTAAGGAAACGTCAAAACTTCCGAGCTTCGTGCTAAAAGGGGGAACTGGATTCAGATAACTAGGGTTTATTAATATAAAAACGGTACAAAGAATCGTCTTCTTTCTCTAATAATTTAATGAAACGTCAAAGCTTCCGCGCTTTGCGCGGGAGGGGGAAACTGAATTAAAATAAATAGGGCTAAATAAGAATCGAAAACGGTGCAACGAATCGTCTTCTTTCTATAATAATTAAGTCAAACGTCTAAGCTTTTCGCGCTTTGCAAGGGGTAAACTGAATTCAGATAAGGATTAAAAGTCGAAAACGGTACAACGAATCGTCTGCTTTCTCTAATAATTTAAGGAAACGTCAAAACTTCCGAGCTTCGTGCTAAAAGGGGGAACTGGATTCAGACAATTAGGGTTTATTAATATAAAAACGGTACAAAGAATCGTCTTCTTTCTCTAATAATTTAATGAAACGTCAAAGCTTCCGCGCTTTGCGCGGGAGGGGGAAACTGAATTAAAATAAATAGGGCTAAATAAGTATCGAAAACGGTGCAAGGAATCGTCTTCTTTCTATAATAATTAACTCAAACGTCTAAGCTTTTCGCGCTTTGCAAGGGGGAAACTTCATTCAGACAAGGATTAAGAGTCGAGCACGGTTCAACGAATCATCTACTTTCTCTAATAATTTGATGAAACACCAGAACATCCACGCTTCACGCTAATTAGATAAGGATTAAGAGTCGAGAACAGTACGCCCAAGCGTCTGCTTTTTCTCATAATTAATTCAAACGTCTAAGCTTTTTGCGCTGCGCGCGGGAAGAGGGAAACTGAATTCAGACACTTAGGGCTTATTAAGAGTCGAAAACGGTACAACGAATCGTCTTCTTTATGGAGCTCTCACACTCTGCCGTGTAGGCCTACCGTCCACCTGCCGGGCTATTAAAAAAACAACAGAGTCCAGAACGTTGGGTTTTGAGCGAACTTGTCCCCAGCCGCAAAAAAAAATTCATAAAATTAATCTTTTCACCGTTTCGTTGCCATCTTCTGACCGTTCTCACCGGGCGCATACCGGGTGTTGAACGTGCTTCTACCGTCTTCACCGCCCAGATTGACTTTTGTTGAAAATTTTGGCCGTTTCCATACCGGGCCCATACCGGGTCTCGAACGTGTGCACCGGGTTTGTAGCAGCCACCTACCACTTAGCGTCCCCTCACCGCTCGGAGCGTCCTGTGAGCGAGTCCCCGGACTGCTGACGTTCATGACACGTTCACAACCCGCTTACAACCCGTTGCAGACGGTGGATTTTTTTTTTTGCCCGTTCATCACCGTTCTGTAACGGGTTATGAGCGTGTTGTGAACGTGTTCATACAGTGTGACCGTTTTCATAACGTATTCATACCGTCCTCATACCATTCAACACCGTCCTCTTGCCGCTTACTTGCGGCCGGTGCCAGCCGGCCAAAGTTTTGAACATGCCCAAAACTTTCGCCGGGTCCCACCGGGTGTAATAGGCGCCAACGCCCTATTAAAGTGTTGACCGCTTTGATAACGAACCACCGTGTGCCCTCGCCGTTCTCCACCTTCCGCAGACATTTTCGCGCACGGTGGCACACGGTAGGCCTTCACGGCAGAGTGTGAGAGTCACTTAATGATTTAATAAAACGTCAAAACCTCCGCGCTTCGCGCGTGAGGGGGAAACTTTATTCAGACGAGGATAAAGAGTCGAGCACGGTTCAACGAATCGTCTACTTTCTCTAATATTTTAATGAAACGTCAAAACTTCCACGCTTCGCGCGGGAGGGGGAGAACTGAATTCAGATAAGGATTAAGAGTCGAGAACAGTCCCGGCCCCCCCACTCAGAGGTCGGAATGACCGCATGCGTGTTGCCAAAATGTCCGGTAAAGGGGTACTTTTCGTGCGACGGCCCGAGATTTTCAAAAAAGGGGTGTATTTGACTTTTCACCCGGAGATTTCTTTAAAAAGGGGGTGACTTTCTTTTTCTCTCTCATCTCTTTGGACTCCTGAGAAATTATTCCGAATTTAGGGGGGTACATTGAGCATTTTTCCTGATTTAGGGGGGTCTCCAAGGCAGGAAAAGCCCGCGAAAAGCCCGCGAAAGGGGGGTTCGGAAATGTTGGCAGTCCTCAGATAGGGGGTGCTTTCAAAAAGAGGGTACGAGCTTATGCGTACCCTAAATAATACTGAGTGGGGGGCCGGGAGAACAGTGAACCGAATCGTCTGCTTTTTCTCATAATTTGATGAAACGTCAAAGCTTCCGCCGGGGCTTCCGCGCTTTGCTCGGGAGGGGGAAAAACTTAATTCAGACAAGGATTAACAGTCGAGAACGTCTTATTTTCATAATAATTTAATGAAACGTCTAAGCTTCTGTTTCTGCTACCTCCGTACGGAAATCGTACGGAATTCGTTCAGCTTCCGTGCAGAGGTTGCGCGGAGAAGGCGCGGTGACCGTGCAGCCTCGGTGCCGTTTTCTTGGCGTCTGTTGCCCCCATGTTCACTGAAAAATCGTGCGTTTGCTGCACGATCAGCGTGAGGCCTCCACGGAATGCCCGTGCGGGGAAGTTGTGCAATGCCACCTACGATTTTCCAAATTTGTTTAACTCCCCGCGAAACAAAATCGTAGTCGCCGCGGAGCCCGTGAATCCGTACGAAAATCTCACGGCCGCCTCCTGCCTCCCCACGGAGGCCGCACGGAAAAGGGGATACGGGCAGGATACGGGCCCCGTAGACTAATCGCAAGCGAAATGTAATCCAGGCATCAGTTGACGAAATAATTCGTATATTTATGTCGAGGAAAATTACCATTTGCGCATACGCAAGTACTATAGATAGTCCATATGAAAAACAATTTAGCCTTCGGCCCCGGGTTTATAGGGTTAAATTTGTAGATATTGGAACGTTTAATTTTGTCGGTAATCGTTGGCCTCTATACACCCCCACTAAAAAAGGTCTAGCGACGCCCCTGTATGTAGTTGTAGGCCTACATGTTATTGGCGTCAAGGTAATAGAGAGAGAGAGAGAGAGAGAGAGAGAGAGTAGAGTGGAGTATAATAGAGAGTATAATAGAGAAAATGAGAGGGAGAGGAGGAGAGGACATTTTGAGCCTTGTTTAGTTTTGAACCTCTCGTACCACGCACTCCATTGTTTTGTGGCGTATCCTGGAGACAGAACAAGGGGGTAGAGAGGATAAAAGGGTAAAGAGATGGGGAGTAGTGCACAAGATGGAGCAGGATGTCGAGTGTCATCTAGATGGGATCATGCCTGAGAGAACTATCAATCTTGATATTTTGAAGAACAGAATTACGTATCAGTCTAATAACTGTCTGCTCATCCAGTCCCGCATCCAGTTCGAGATTCACCAGGATCGAGTGAAACACGATCGCAACTCCGAAACACTAACTCAATGGTAATTGCAATACACTATTGTATATCATAAGAAACCATGTGTAGATTACGTAATACGTCATTTAGTATTAGCCCATTTTTAAAGGTGATGGACGAAATTATATACCTCACTTTAGAAATCCAGCCATCTGATTGGTCGAAATTGGAGTCGTGATTTTAGCCATTCCCGTAAAGAAACGTAAAATGCCAAAACTGGTCAATGGTATTTTGAAAAACGCCCTAGGGCACTTTTCGAAAGACTATTAACCCCGGCCCCCCCCCCCCCCCACTCAGTGTTATTTAGGGTACGCATATGCTCGTACCCTCTTTTTGAAAGCACCCCCTATCTGAGGACTGCCAACATTTCCGAACCCCCCTTTCGCTGGCTTTTCGCGGGCTTTTCCTGCCTTGGAGACCCCCCTAAATCAGGAAAAATGCTCAATGTACCCCCCTAAATTCGGAATAATTTCTCAGGAGTCCAAAGAGATGAGAGAGAAAAAGAAAGTCACCCCCTTTTTAAAGAAATCTCCGGGTGAAAAGTCAAATACACCCCCTTTTTTAAAAATCTCGGGCCGGACTTTGTCATATGATTGATAATACTTTGGAGGGAGCAGACGTGTTTTTGTTTTGCTCCAATAATTGTGAGGATATAGCCGGATATACTTGGAAATTTATATTGAATTTTACATCAGCTAAAAGCGGTTCGTTCAACAATTCTAGTGAACTACATTATATCATTTGAATGTGGGAAACTGCGACGATTTTTGTCTGTAAGAACAACAAATTTCGTCAATTTGTTAGACTTTGATCTGTTTGAAAATCAAACCACGCGCATCAACATAAGGCGCATCCAAGAGGACGCAAGGACTTTGCGCTGAAGGGCATCTCTAAGGCGCATCTCTAAGGCATCTCTAAGGCGCGCCAAGCATCCATCTCCATCCATCTCCGCTATTAATCAGGTCGGGTCAGTCCTACGTCATCAATTTCTCGATTGTTTGCACCCAATCATCATGCCTCCTAAGAAATCCCAAACCATCACTAACGACGATTATATCGACATTAAGTCAGAACTACGAAAGTTAAACGAAACGCTAACCTCGCAACTGGCTGAGATCAAATCTGGCCAAGATGAGCTAACTAGGTCTGTTGAGTTCTTCAGCGGGAGAGTAGACGAACTGACAAACGACATTAAGATGCTGAAGGACGACAACAAGTCTGTAAAAAAGGAAAACGCGGATCTAAAGCAAAAGTTGTCAGCACTAGAGAATCAAGTGAATGACCTTGATCAGTATCATCGGAGAATTAATCTGGAAGTGGCGGGTGTATCAGAACAGGAAGGCGAAAATGTGGGAGTCGGTATTGAAAGTTTTGAAGGTGGTCGCACCAGAGGTGAACTACACCGACATTGATGTATCCCATCGTCTAGGCCGCAAGAGGGAAGGTGTTTCT